TATTATTATTATTATTGAGCCATAGTTCTGCTCGAGGTTTCTGCCTGTTAAAAGGAAGTTTTTCCTTGCCTGTGTCGCCTAGTGCTTGCTCATGGTGGGAATTGTTGGGTTTCTGTAATTAACTTCAGAGTAGGGTCTGACCTGCTTTGTTTGGAAAGCGCTGTGAGACAACTGTTGTTGTGATGTGGCGCTATATAAATAAAACTGAGTTGAATTGAATTAATTTTAATTTTGTAATGTCATTGTATGAACGTGTGTTTGGACTGATTTTGTATTTTGTGATTTTGTGTTGTTTGATCTTCCTGCCTCAGGACGACAGATGTAAATAGCAACTATGCTATAATCTGGTTCATTTACAATCTGTATGAGATTGTTCATTAATGTGCACTGTCCTGATTAAATAAATAAATAAACAAAGACCATGCAAACAGGGCAGAGATATCAGGATATCTGTCAGCAAAAAATATACACAACATAAACACTAAGAGGAAACGTGCACAGTCCTGGGTGTGTGTAGATTACACAGGTAAATAGCCACCTATATAACAACATAAATTGAGAAATATATGTCTAATATTAGACATTATAGGGTAAAAATTAGTAAGTATTGCCCATTGTAGGGGAAAAAAACTATAAATAATGCACATTGTAGGGTAGAAATATGCAAGTATTGCACATTGTAAGGTAAAAAACTATAAATATGACACATTTTAGAGTAAAAAAACTGTAAGTCTTGCACATTATAGGGTAAAAAACTATAAATAATGCACATTATAGGGTGAAAAACTGTAAGTATTGCACATTTTAGGGTAAAAACCTGTAGGTATTGCACATTATAGAGTAAAAAACTATAAATAATGCACACTGTAGGGTAGAAATATGCAAGTATTGCACATTATAGGGTAAGAAACTATAAGTATTGCACATTATAAGGTAAAAAACTATAAATATGACATATTTTAAGGTAAAAAAACTGTAAGTATTGCACATTGTAGAGTAAGAAACTGTAAATTATGCACATTTCAGGACGGGATATTATATATTTGACAGTGTCTTTCAGTGAACGGGGAGTTCTGGCTGGTTATCACCGTAGGACAGAAGCTGCCTTTGAGTCTCAGCCCCAGAACTTATATCAGGATGTCTCAGAATATGTCTCTTTCCTGGAATTAATTTGTTATTTGTGGATTTTTCTTTTCTTTCTAGTTTCCGACCCGATCTCTAAGCAGGAGAAAGCGATCACACTGAGAGAGTTAAACTCTGTACAGGAGGTTTTCAGCTGTAGCAACAAGTATTTTAGTCAATAAGCTGCCTGTGTGATGTTTTTAGGGCAGAGGTTGAGCTGGGGACTGGGGGGGGGGGCGTGTGCTGGGCTCCATCAGGACAGGGATTCAGAAAACCCCTCAGTGTGGAGGAGAGTGTGTAGATTTCATTAGCGGCGCTCGGCTGATTCTGGGCTTGAACCGAGCGAGTCAGAAATAGAGCTCAGACTTCTCTGTGTGTTTCTGCGTGTTTTCTGTCCCCGTTTGAGCCGGATTTGAGCGCCGATTCACCGCGTCTCCCCAAGAATAGGCGTAAAAAACCTTAATTCCTGACGATTCCAACCATGGATACGCGTAATATTTCAATTTTAACACGATTCCTGCAGCAGAGACACAGAAAATCGCAGGAAATTCAATTAAATTCAATTTCATTTATATAGCGCCACATCACAACAACAGTTGTCTCACAGCTTTCCAAACAGAGCAGGTCAGACCCTACTGTGAAGTTAATTACAGAAACCCAACAATTCCCACCATGAGCAAGCACTAGGCGACACAGGCAAGGAAAAACTTCCTTTTAACAGGCAGAAACCTGGAGCAGAACCATGGCTCAGGGTGGGCGGCCGAAATTGCTGCTGAACTTGTCGGTTTGGATCACATCACGTCCACAAATTCATTTTCTCACCCGTCTCCTGCAACTGGACAGCATTTGGCCGCATCCCAATCTGATTGAACGCCATCTTTTTCTCTCCCAGATGGGAAAATAAGGAATTCTGGGAAAGGCCCATGCTCACCAACAGGAGGGGATTTGCTTTTGCTCTGAAGGCACTCGTGGAAAAAACGAGCCCAGAGTCTCAGCGTTCCTCTGGAAATGAGCAAAAACAAATAAATACTCTGGAATCAGATCCCCTCTCGATATGTGAGGCGCAAAACCGAGGTTGCTTATCTCTAACCTGCAATGTTTGAAACCACGCCACATTTTGCTTTTATGTTCACCTGCCAGAGAAAGGTTCATTTTGTAAGCGTTTTGTGAAAATATGCCCACCTGTTATCACTACAAATATGTTTCCAGCTTTAGAAATAAGTCCTAAGATAAAAAATAAAAGATAAAACTTCTGATAAGTGAATATTTAGCTTGTTTTGATTTAGCTGTTAGTTTATAGTTTATCTTCAAATTTGTATTTCTTATTTTACTCAGAACAAATACATTTTCATACTTTAATCATTACTATTTACATTTTATCTATTTATTTACATCTTTATGATGTTTTTTTTTTTATTCACGGAAATTATTTCCCTAACTTTTTAACCGATTTATTTCTTTATTTATTAGCTGATTTCTGGCTGTCAGAGGCTGCTTAGTCGCCTCTAATCGCCTCGTTTATGTGCCGAGTTTCGTCTTTATGGAGCTCGTGACACATTTTGTGTGTTTTTTTTGTTTTGTTTTGTGTGCAAACTCAAATGTGGACGGGGAAACGTGGGTCCGGCTGCTGCTGCCTGATGTGGAAGCCCATGACAGTAACATTTGGGGAAGTTTCTGATCTACGCGCTGC